CACTGCTGAGGGGAGCAGCGGGCGGGTCAGGAGAGGTCTATCATGCCATATGGATCACCTCCAGGGTGGGGATTGAACTCATGCTGAAGTGACTTTAGCTTCTTCCCGCTGTGCTTTATCCCTCTGGTCCACCAGGGAGGGCTCTGCATCAGCAATTTATGCATAGATCACTTTCACCTCAACCTGACCAAGATTTGTGTCCTTTGTAATAGACATTCCAAGGACTGAATGTCATGGTAGCATCTAATACGGTGAAACCTTTTACCCATTGCCTTCACCATCACATAAGTCTATCTGAGACGAGAGTAATGTGTTTTGTATCTGCACTACACAATTGTTGGTTCCTACATTGTGTAATATGGTCTGGGTTGGTTCCTACTGTGTGTAATATGAATATTCAGTAGAGACAAATAAAAAAGGACTAGCCAGTGTTTGGAAATTAACAATATTAGGGAGAGTGTAGGTGATCACTGAGGCATATAGGTACTGATGAGTCAGTGTTTCATTTATCATTTCTTTCCCCTTACTATTCTTACCCTCTCCTTCCTAGATTCAAATCTCAAAATAAAGAAACAAGAATTTTTATTGATTTCCAACCATTATTTGTTGAAATATCCTAGTGGACATTTAGTCACATAACTGAATTTTATGTATACTAGAAGTATAAAGCTTTCACTAGTTCCTGACAGGAACCCCATCTATTTCAAGATAGATATCAACTAATAGGAAATATGTGGTATTTATCATATGCCAATTATGTACTGAGCACATTGAACACATTTCCTCTGAACATGTAACTACTTGACCAGGTAAGTGTTTATTTCCATTTTACAGAAATGGAAAATAAATGTGCTGAAGGTCACATAGCAGTAAGAGGTGGTACTAGGAGTTGAAGCCAGACTCTGAATCCAGAGTCCATGGGACACAAACCTATCTTATTGCTTTCCACATTCCAAATACTTAGCATTAGCATATAGTTGAAGCACAGCAAACAATATTGAATGGACAAATTTGTGTAATTAGTGTCCTTTTTACCACATCACAAAATTAGCATTGCTTTTGTGTTTAAATATTTCTTGGTCTTAACTCTGTTCTCATTACTAAATAGCAGCTTCAGGGAGTAGTTTAAGTGCTACCTTGGATTAGCCAGTTGTTACCAGCTAAACAAGATAGCTAGAACATTAGACAATCTTAAGTGACCATAGCAATAATAATTTAAATATGTCATTTTAGTAAATCTAAGGCAAAGATTAATCAGCTAGGGCAAAATTCAAGTTGACCATATTTACAGAATTTGAACATAGTGAAACTGGGACCCTCATACAATAAAAAAGAAAAGAATTACATAAAGACTTCATTCAAACTTAAAGAAAAACATTGTGATCCAAGCCTGAAAGTCAGACTGTTATTATCTGAAAACAAAAACTGGATTGCCTATTAAGGGTTAGGTTGCTATTATGATTCTTACAGTAGTGCTAATTCAAGCTGTTTTTTTTCCTCTCTGAAATTGGGTTTGTCAATAAAGCAAGTATAATAATTCACTGGGTAGCTGAGGATAAAATAAGAATACCATTTCATCTAATGCCTAAAACATCACTGAACCCAGTAATGATTCTATATCACATTTCTTGGTAAATGCATGAAGAAGTAGAATTAAGAAAACACAGGTTAAAATGTAATGAAATGGAGTAATGTTAAGAGTACTTCCATTAAGGAAGTACAAATTAGAATCATGATTAGATACCACTATATACCTATAAAAATGAGTAATTTTTTTAAAAATTGATACTACCAAATACTGGTGAGAATGAGGAAAAGCTGGATAATTCACATTGCTAGTAGGAATGTAAACTATCCTCAGGATATCTGACAATTTTTTTTTTTTTTAACTAAAGTTAACCCTAATACCTTCCCACACAGTCAGTCCTGGAAATTTATCCTAGAGAAATGAAACATGTCTATACAACTCTTTATACAAATGTTCATTGCAATCTTTTTTTTTTCTTTTTAAGATATTACTTATTTATTTGTGTGTAGAAGGATGAGGGTGTAGGCCAGGGGTGTAGGAGATGAGAAAATTCAAGAGAGACAGAATGGGGAGCCAAATAAGTAGGTGTACTGAAATACACAGCTGAGGGGGGCAGCGGACGAGTCAGGAGAGGTCTGCTGTGCCATATGTGGGCCAGGGATCAAGCTCAGGCTGCTGTTGTGGACTTTTGTGATGATATCGCTGAGATTTAACTGCTAGGTCACCAGAGAGGCCTTGCCAGTTAATTATAACAATTGTTCTTTGGAATGTAAATGGATAAACAAATGGTGGTATATTCATACTATGGTATACTACTCAGCAATAAAAAGGAAGAAACTGTTGATATACACAATTTGGATGTATTGGTTATTGGTTTCATGGAAAAAATTACTCAGAAAATTTTAGTCATGTAACATAACATTCCTAAAATGATGCTAGTACAGAAGTGAAGAACATATCAGTGAATGGCAGGGTAAGGCAAAGAAGAGAAAGAGGTAATATAAGGAGTTTCCTTAGTAATGACAAAGATTTCTGTATCTTGATTGTGTTGGTACATGTATATGAATTTATACATGTGATAAAATTTCATAGAAACATATACACACAAAACTAGTACATGCAAAAACTGACAAAATCTGAGATCTGTGACTAGTTAATTGCCAACTTCCTAGTTTCAATAGTATATTACATATTTACCTAAGATATTACAATTTGGGAAAGTTGGGTGATGGGACCGCTCCCCTTTAATTTTGCAATTCCTCTGAGTTTATAAATATTTCAAAATTAAGAAAAAATTTAGTCATTACTGACATTTAAACTAAGAAAATATGTGTAAGGGCTAAAAACTGATGCTGGTGTGTTATCTATGTTGCTGGGCAATAAGAGAACTATCAAACAATCAATATAATGAGATGCCCATAACTTCTGAACTTTGAATCTCAGTTTTGGTCATTTATGCTGAGAAAGTAATCCCCCAAAAGGTAAACGCTATAGATGTCATTTCTAGTAACAAAAATCTACAGGCCAAAAGTAATTTTAGGGCCCTTCTTGGTGTCACAGTTGGTTAAAGCAACACACTATGAAGCTATTGCAGTCACTGCAGCATGAGTTTTATCCTGGAGGGAAGGAGACCCACACAGTGTGGCAGACCTCTCCTCACCCACCTGCTGTCCTCCTCAGCAGTGTACTTCATCAATCTGTCTGTTCTGAGCCTCACTATGTCTCTGGTCAATACTCTCACCACCACCACCCCCACTTCTGGCCTGTACCCCAGTTCTATATGTATAATAAATAAACTTTTTTTTAAAAAAAGTAATTTTAAAACATATTAAAACATATGCTGAGGTATGATCAGTAGATTCATAAAGTTAAATTTCACTTTGTTGAATTGCTATTTAATTTTTAAGTTCTGGCATTAATAATTATTTTGAACTCTTCGTCTTGTTTATTTCTAGTTCTGTCCACTTTGCCGCTTAATACCTACTGAGAATCCTAGCAGCTTCAGTGGCAGTTTAATAAGACATTTGCAAGTCAGTCACACTTTGTTTTATGATGACTTCATGGTAAGCATATCATCTTAATTTTATATTGTTTTTACATTGTGTGTTAGACATAACGTTTTTAACCCACATGAGTAAAATTATAGAAGAAAAAATGCATGTGAGCTCCTAATAGTTTTTAGATGTCAAAATAAAAAGCTTCAAAATAAAAAAAAGATTTTAAAATGTGCATAGTTGAAGTAGTAGCATCAAGTGAGAATAACCTAATGGACCACTATATAATCTACCCATCAATAACTACCAACTTATAGCCAGTTTCATAATATTACTTTTTTTCTTTCAGTTTTATTGAGATATAATAAGCAGGAGCACATGCCAGGTGGCATGGCATAGTAACTTGAGATATATATATATGTATATACTGTAAAATGAGGTTTACTTAATAGTCATCATTTTATATAGATACATCAAAAGGCTTGGGAGAGCTTTTTCCTTGTCATGAGAACATTTAGGATCTACACTCAGCAACTTTCAAATTTACCATAGAGAAATATTAATTATCGTTAATATGTTAAATACATTACATCCCCAGTACTTATTTATCTTATTACTGGAAGTACATACCTTTTGACCACCTTCATCCAAATTCTTCTCTCCCCACCCAATAATTTTTTAGTAAGGAAGAAAAGCTAGTTATCATGAATGCTTTTCCCCATGATCAGAAACAATAGCAAGCTACAATTTTCACGTGATTTTGATTATTTTCTTTCTATGTAATTTCAAAATAGAATTCAATAATTGTTGAAGTTTGTTATTTGAAAATTTTTCCAATGCACTCTGATCTACCCATTATCATTCTTCAGATTCAACATAAAGAGATTAGGTTCTGACCTCGATTTAAATAACAACTCTCTCACAGTGGTGTGACCTTTGCCTGGCGTTTCACCTGGCACAGCAGATCTCCCCTGTCTCCCCCACTGGACCTTTGTTCCTTTTGTTTAGTGAGGACAGTAAATGAGCCCACTCTCAAAAGCGCTTGAGAATTAAGTTAAATTAATGCAGTCTGGGCAAGCATTAGGCTAGTTAAAGACAGAGAGTAAGTGGGAATATAAAGATTACCTGAGGAATTGAACAAACTACAAAGTCTTCATATTCTTTACACCATCTCTAAAATAATATATTTTCTGGCCCTACAGCAGAGGGTCTTAACAGAGATAGCTTCTGGATTACATGGTCTCATCTTTCACAACACACAGCTTAGCTCCATGAGATATTCTATAGGCCAAGTTGATCCCATAGCTAATCTAACTATTCATTGTTCTAAGGATCTTTCAAAGTATGACCCTGGTCAGTAGGAAGAACTCTGATGAGAATGCTCTCTACCCCACAAAACTATTTTCTTTGCTTTGAAAGTGAAGTTAAATCAGTTTTCTTTGTTTTGATTTTTTGTTTACTAAATTACCAAGTCCTGTGCTAGGCACATTACGTAAATCATCTCATTCTGTTCCTTGAAATAGTTTCTGTATTATTATCTTAACTTAGCTATGAAATAGTTAAAGCTCAAAGGTTAAGAAATTGCCCAGTGGCTGATTCCTAAATCTGTGTGCTACTGTTTTTAAAGGCTTTCATTTGTACTTTATTTATTCATTACTATGTTTTATTTAAAAAATATTTCTTATTTATTTTTGTAGAACTGGGGTCTAGGCCAGAGTTGCAGGTGTGAGAGGATTCATCAGAGACAGAGTGGGGACCAGAACAGAACAGCTGCATTTACTGAAATACACTGCTAAGGGGGCCAGTGGGGGAGACAGGAGAAGTCTGCTGTGCCATATGGGTTAGCACCCTGGCTGGGGATTGAACTCCAGCTATGGCAGGGGTAGTGCTGAGATTTATCTGCTAGGCCATCAGGGAGGCTCCCTGTTACTATGCTTTAGAGAGGACTTCCAGCAGAAATAGTTTCTGGTGTTTTTTTTTTTTTTAAGTTTATTGGCTAAGAGAAGATTGGTTTAGAGGATACCACTCTTAATAATTTTGCTTTATCTACAGAATGTGCCGACTTAAGATTTTGAATTCCATTTTTGGCAATAAAGAGGCAATGAGTTTTATTTTCAACATTATTTTTCAGGTTTATTCAGTTGGGATTAGTGACCTTACAGGAATGAATTTTACTCTAAATTACATGCACACATGAAACTTAGCACTCTGATCAGGCCTTGTAATGTTGACTAAAACAGTAAGTTGGATCATAAAAAGTTTAAATTGCAAGTCAAGATTCCTTTAAGAAAACAAAAATTAGTTCATTGACTGGCAGTAATTTAAAAAAAAAATGCACTAACCTCAAAGCAAAAGTCCTAGATTGTATGACAGTTTTTGTGGAAACCTGGACACATCACTAAATTAAGGTATTAATCTTCCTGTGGAATTAGTGCATTAAATTGTCCCTCGTCTCTCACTATCTGAAGCTATTGTCTCTTCTTGTATGTTCCTAATTACTGTTCTTTATTGTAGGATTTTAATATAATCGAGGAAGCTCTTATCCGAAGGGTCTTAGATCGATCACTTCTGGAATATGTGAATCACTCAAATGCCACATAATTTCATTAAAGAGGAAAGAGACCATACAATTGCACCATTTATTAAGATGCTGCTTAAACAATTGGAGGGAAATTGTCAGTGTTCTATGGGCAAAGACATACAACATAGCTATATGTTTTTCTGTGTTTATTGTTATACTGCATTTTAAAACTGCTTTATTTTTATGGCATAACCTGTGTTACATTTTTAGTTTCTTAACAAAAATAGTCTCTATCAGCCATGAAGTATGAAAGACAACATAAGTAGGATAATGTGGTGAAGGATCTTTATTTACAAAGTGGATGATGATGTATGTAATGCTACATATTAACAACTCCCATCATAGTTGGGCAAGACAATTAATCCTTGTTCTATGTAAAAAGAGAGTGAAGCAATGTGTGAACATTCAAGGAAATAAATCATCTGAAAACTGATATTCTAATATCTAATAGAATAACATGGAATAATCTTATGTGAAAGTAGGAAATTATAAATTTTGGATGTCAACAAACTTCATTTAACCAAATTATATAGCATAATACTGTAACAAAATAAGTTTTATGTTAGGAATGTTTACTTCATTCTTTGACTTTTGATAACTATGCACAAAAAGAATTTAACATTATATTTTTCAAATATTTGTAGCTATTATTTAGAAACATTTGTATAGGATAGATCATTTAAGAGCCATCAGTTTGTAATTACAGTAGAAGTATTCACACCCATAATTTTTAGTAGAAAACCCTAAGGGCTTTGAATTTTTTTTTTATGCTGTAGAAAAAAAAGATAAGACATATAATGAAAACCAAACAGAAAATGTATACATTATTATAAGGCATCACTCTTTTAGAACTCTGCCAGCCTCCATGACTATGCTCCATGTGTCCTGTCACCATAAACAACTCTGCCCCACAACCTCACGAAAGTTAACCACTACACTGATATTAACAGTAAAAACTTCCTTGCCTTTCTTATCCTTCAAGTGTGTATCTCTACATACTATAATTTTATCCATTTAAAATAGTTTCAGTAAATTTTTTTTTTTGCTTCTCTTTAATATAGTTTTTCCCTTCTTTTCCTCAAAATTTATCTGGTCTTACCACCTATAGAGTTTCCACCAATCTAAATTTTTCTGATTGCATACAGATGGCACAGTTCAGTATGTACCTCTGTCCTCTGGTTCCAGGGAGTTGAGAAAACAGGTTCAATCCTTTTGACAAGACTATATATCACAGTGTTCTTTTTTGGGAGGTCACATAGGTCTAATTCCCTCTGTGATATTGAGTGAAATTGATAACACCTATAACAGATGCATTGGTTGAAGGATATTCTAATTTTCTCATTTCTTTGTCATTTGTATATTGAAACATTTTAATAAACAGATGTTTCCCCACATCTACTATTTGGTTAACCAGCTTTAAAGTCTATAAAGAAATAGGAAAGTAAATACTTGAATTGTTCCTTTTGCCACTTTTTCAAGTGTTCTCTGTTATCTTCTAATGATCATTTTTTAAAATATTGTGTACTTATGGATTCACACATATTTAATGACTTTATTTCAAATATTACCATATTAAAGCTCAAATTGTCACATCTCTGGCCATTGCGAGCTCAGCAAGTTGGCTTTAAGTCTTTTTGACACTATTCTAACAGTATTTGATAATTTCTTTGCTTTTTTTTTTTTTTTAAATGACAGTACATTTCTGGCTCACCTTGTGTGTTGCCTTGACCCAAATACAGACATATCTCTAAGAAGCTGGGTTAGGTTTAGGGAGAAATGATAACCATAATTAGGACTCTGAGAATACTCAGTACTACTAGATGAGTCATTTTTTTTTTCTACTAGAGAACAAGGAAATACCAATTTCCAAAGAATAAACATTTGATGAGTTTATTTTCATACTTCCAAATCAAATACAGCACTACTGGGTTTTTACCTAATTATTTCTCTCACATTTTTTTTTACATTGAGAATCTTTGTTTTCAAGGACACACAACGTGATATAATTAGAATATTTCACTCTTCATTTTATATACAAGTCTCAGAAGAACAATACTAATATGATTAACACCAGTATAACTGAAATATTTTTTCATTAGCTCTCCCCATACCCCCCTATTTTTTGAGTTCACTCTATATATTGGTATGTTCTACCCCCAATTTTATATATTCAGTGTTTGCCACCAGTCATTATTTGATGGCTCTATTTTTCTTATTTGGCTCTTTGATGGCGAATCCAGGATACAGAATGTTTCCCTCTTGAAAGCAAATGAAAAAGCTATGAAAACTAGTGATACCAATTTCCAAGGAGAAAGCGTTATTTGATTATAGTTAGCTTTTTCATTATATTCATTTATAAACCTTTTTTCCTTTCTCAAAAATGTAGTTATAAACATGATGCCCAAAGTTTTCTATAACAGACTATCCATTTCTTCCTAAAAGTCTTGCACACTATAAGCTAATTAAAAAGACATAAAGCCAGATAAAATCTAGAGAACGTTATTTTCTTCCTTTTAAATACTGGCTGCAAGCTTGCTTTTCATAGATGCTAGCAAATAACAATGGATTTTTAGTTTCACAATCTCTCTTCCTCTAACTTGGATTAAGTCAGCCAATAAAGGAAAACCTGTTGGACAAGTATAAAAGAAGAGGAAATTTTCAGGGGCAATCCATCAGACTGAAAAAATAGTTTCTAAAAAATAGAATATATTTCTCAGCATGAATATTGACTATCCAGAAGATAAATCTTTAATTCTGAGGAATATAAGAGGCATTTTTAAATCTGTAAAACTTGAAAAAATTAAAAACTTTTAAAAATACGTTTTGCGTAACATTATTACCCTCAGTGCATCTGTTCTGTATCCTGTCCTGCGATTCCCCATCTGATAATTTTCCCACCTACAGGGCAAATTAGGTGCTGGCCACCTGACTCTTTTTGCCTTCTGAACTATTTTGAGTTCTAAAATAGTGAAGTACAAATAGTCATTATTTCACTGTGCCTTTAACTTTTTGTATAAAAGAATTTATAGTTCATTGTTTTAAAAAAGAGAAAACCAATGTTTGAAGCTGTTGACTGCTAATAAAAATGTTTTACTCTGTTTATAGCTCCTGTAAGTACAACTTTTTCAAGCCCTTTTGAGGAAAAAATTGATTCAAAGGCTAAATTATTCTAGTTCTATGAAAATTCATAAAGATTTTCCTTTTATATTTGTTTTCATTAAAGTTTCTAAAACATAGGTTGAAAATTGGACTGTAAATGTCTGATAAAGATAGTTCCAAATCAGATCTCCTAAGAGATGCTGTCCAATAATCTTGTATTATTTCTGTTACTGGGTGCTAAGTGTCTTTCATTTCGAAGTGAGCTTACGCCAGTTACTGAATTGTCTACTGTGATTTCTACATTCAAACCCTGAAGTTATTTTGAAAAGTCACTGAAATTCATTCTTTTGTTATTCATTCTTTTATTATTCTCATTATGCAACAAGATGTCTGTATAATGGTCAGAATTTAAAATGTACAATTCTTTTTCTTCTGTAAATATGTTTTATTGTGAGAAATAAAAAAATGGCAGGACCATTGATTTCATTAAAATATCTAGTGTGTCTATTCTCAAATATTGATCTTAATAACTTTGTATACAAACTTAGTAAGCCTTTTTTTTTTTAAAGATTGATTTATTTATGCATACAGAACTGGAGTACAGGCCAGAGGTGTAGGGGTGGTGGGCAGGTTCTCCAGAGACAGACGGGATAATAGAACAGGCAGATTGATGAAGTACATTGCTGAGGGGAACAATGGGCAAGACAGGAGAGGTCTGCTGGGCCATATGGGTCACCTTTCTAGCGGGGATTGAACTCATGTTGAAGCAGCTATAGCTAGCTTCATATTGCTGCACTTTAACCCATTGTGCCACCAGGGAGGTCCCTAGTATGACTTTTAAATTAGTTCTCATTCAACAATATCACAAAAAGATGCCTTCATTTAAGCCAATAGTTCTCATCTTGGGGCAACTTTGCTTCCCACAGGACATTTGACAGAGTTTAGAGATACTTTTTTGTTTGCCATAACTATGCTGTAGTATTGACCACGGAAGTATATAGACTCCAGGAATGCTGCTCAAATTTCTGTAGCACATCAGATGGCCTCTCAAGAAAGAATTAACCTGTGCAGAGGTTTAGAAACCCTGAGTCAGGTCAAGGTACTGCTTAACACCATCAAATTATTATTGATTCTGCTTCCAATAGATTTCATTGTTATTCAAAAGGGAAGATACAGATGAACTCTACCCTACTTCTGCTAAGTAATGTAGGTGTTGGGTGGCAATAGCCATCATGTGTACCCCAATCAAAATATTTTCAAAAATATGAAAACTTTTTGGATCTTTCACAAAGAAATACAGAAAAGAATACTAATGTTATTGACAAGTCCCTGTTTGCTGAGTGACATGCTAAAAGAGGTAATCCAGGATAAGTTATGAAATGTTACAGCAATTTCCCGGAGAAGTCAGATGGCACTCAGAGAGGTGGAGAGATTTACTTGTCACACCCACAGGCTCAGTGGGATCAGTCCCAAAAGACTGAGTCCTGAATTACAGGAGTGGTGAGGTTTTATACAGGTTAGATGAGGAAACTTGTCATCCATCCATCATAGCATAAGCATTCTTTATTGTTTGGGAAGGGGTCAAGGTAGCCATAGCTATCACTGTGGGCCAGCAGCACACTGCAGAAATTTCTGCTCCAGTAAGCAGCAGAATCTGAACAAGAGACTCCCCACCAAGCAGCAGGGTCTGGGGAAGTAGCAGAACCTAAGCAGACCTGGGAAACTTCCTGCTTCAAAGACTCAATGTTATCACCTAGGCTATCTTTATTGGACCACATAGACAAAATAATACAGAGGCACACTTTTTCTGAGATCCTTGAAGCTAAGAAATATTTATGCTTTCATCTTGTTACTGGAAAATCATCTGTGATTTTAATTCTACAAATTTCAGAGAAGGTCACACGTGGGTTTAGTCATTATCCCAAAACAACCATATGAAAGTCCAAAGAAAGTAAACTATGGGGAGAGATGGATCAAGCTAGATGAAGTCACATTCCCATTACAAACAATCTCCAATTCCATTTCACACCCACATTCTACTGTAAATCCTGGCTATTCTCTAAGCAGCTGCTCTCCAACCTTAGGTTGCTTTTATAACATGGCAATTGCCTATTACCATGAACTCCTTCCTCCAGCCATCTCTCACCATCATGGGTAGGAGAAGTGGTTATACAAGGCATTTCCACTAGTATTTCATTTACCAAGTAAGCTGTGGCCATATGTAATTACAAGATGTTGGAAGTACAGTCTTCTATAGTGAATACTGAGATCAGATAGCAGTGTCAACCATGGAGGTACAGACCAGGGAGAGTAAACAGAGAAAGGACCACTACAGGAAAAAGACATTAAAGATGTCTGCAAAGGATGGGCAAGAAAACATTAAACTAGTTAGAAACATTTTTTTGCTATGCTATGTTTTGTTTGATTTTACTTAAGTGAAAAGATCTGATTTATTTTCAATGAATTTTTGAATCATTTTTTCTTACTCATAAAAAGAGCCATTGAGTATATTCTCAGTTCTTTAACTGTATATACTGCTGGTATAACTGCATCAGCGCCACTTAGTTACTTGCTATCTTTGCATTTTTCTTGTTCTTTCCCAAATGTACAGAACTAAAATATCTGAAATTCTGAGAGGTTTGTTAGCATGTTATCAAACTATATTCAAATCCATCC